GATAAGTTTTTCTTTTCTTTCTTTTTTTTTTTCCTTCTCTGCTCTCAAAGTCAAAAGAAAGAATCGCCCGCAAGATAAACGATCTCTAAACGAGCGCTCGTCGAGAGAAGTGGAGAATAGCGGGGAAAAATTAAAAAAAAAAAATAAAATTCTCTTCGTTGGATCTATTTAATTAAGATTGGAGCTTTAAAAATTAACTTATCTCTAACTGTCTCATCCGTCGTTCGACCTAACCTAATTCGCAAAAAGAAAATTTTCGTATTTACGTATTTACGTGCACGAGAAACGAAACGATTAAATCACTATCTATTGTTTTTTCGAAATGAAAATCGTCTCTTTGAACGCTGAAGAAAAAAAAAAAAAGACGAAACAACAGGTTGGAGCGATTGTATGAAACGAGGCGACTTACCCTGATTTATTCGAGAAAAAAAAAAATCGATCGAACAGTTTCCAATGCGCACGATACGACGACGACTTGCACAACGATCGAAACAGAGTCGGTGTTTTCATCCGGCGGAATAACTTCATCGGGCACTCCCGCTCTCGGCTGCCGCCTGTCAATTAGCTATCATTAACATCGGCAAATTAGTCGGAGGCTAAGCCAACGAGATACGTATTCGTAGGAGTAAATCCCGTTCGAGTCGAGTTCCACTTCGTTATTCCACTTATTATTCCCTCTCTCTCTTTCTCTCTCTCTCTCCGCTTTCTCGTCTCTCACCTCTCACTTGGAACGTTATATACGCATTTTCACACGCGTTTTGCCCACGCTTGCTCCAATCCATTCGCTCGAATGCATTTCCGGTCCCTCTCACTCGCGTCATCATCGTCATCGTTGTCGCCATTGACAGCCGTTGTACACGTCACCAACCCACGTGCGCCTGCCTGCCTGCCTGCCTCTTCCACCCGAATGCCTCTGACAATTCGAATGCCTCCTCTTTTCTTCCGTGTCTCTGTTCATTGCCCGTTGTTTGTCGTTCACGCGAAGTAAATTTGAATAAATCGATTCGAAATGATCGGATATGGATGGACGTATTTTAGGTGGTGAAAACAAGGTGATGTAAAAAAAAAAAAAAGTAAGTAAATTTATTTTGAAATTTCGAATAAATTTCGTTACAGCATAACGTGTTACACATAGAGACAAAAACGGACGTTGTCACGTGTTCACGCGACGAATTTAATCGTTGAAGCGTTCGTCGAGCGTTATTACACAGTCGAAAATTACGATAAAACTGGCCGATTGCGGAGAATCGATCGAATTTTAGAGCGAAGCCTCTAATAATATATTCCGTTTCGAATCTAAACGTTCTCTCTTTTTTCTTATTTTATCAAATTTTTTCGCGAAGAAATTGTCTCGTAACACCGTATGAAACTCCACCCTCGATACACTCGAGATAGAGATAAGGGGTCTCGTTGTCTTACACGCATGCGCAAGTAAGACAATTTCTCATCGAGTTGGAACGACGCGACGTCCGCGTCGTTAATCACCGTGATGATGCGGCCGTCTTGTGTGGCGCATTACACGCGCGACAACTCAATTCGGCCGGCATGGTAACGCTTTAAAACCGCGCCTCGCTTATAAATATTCCACCGCCGTGTCCAATACGAGCGAAACGTTTGTTTCGTTAACCGCTTACGCTTACCTCCTCCGCCATTGGCTTGCGTGTCGATTCGATCCTTCGAGACCAACTTCGTCACTCGATAGTTTCGAGTACGAAAGATTATAATCGATAATGTTGACGATTCTTTTCTTCACATAATATATAATAAAGTATGGATTCAATAGGATTCTGACGACGGTTTATGAAATTCTTCCAGTTTGCATTCTTTTTTGTTAATAAATTGATTCTTGGAATCAAGTTTATATTAAAAATACCGGCTGCGATATAATTATCAGACCGTGATGAATGTTTTTGTTTTCAAATTAAATTGGTACGAATGGAATTGGAAAAAATGGAATTTATATTATGCTTTGATTTTTTTTTTTTTTGCATACACAAACATTAGCAGACTAATGATCGATGTTAATCGCGCGGATCAGTTTAATGAAACATTCAGATCGATGTATATATATATATATATTGTCAATACTTCAAGGTTCTCGATATTGACAATACGCCAATCTATTTCTGCGAATGTTCAATAATATTGATACAATTACGTATTCCATGTACGATAATATTGAGAACCTCGAAATATTGACAACGTGCATAAATCGATTGCCTGAATATTTCTCCAAGATACAATCGTTCAAGTTGCAGAAATCGATCGATTTAAGTTACCACGCTGTAATTAAAGTTAGTTAATGCGCCGTCATTTGTCATCGTTATAGATACACCAGTCGACGACGAGTTATTCAATTGACGATATATGGTATTTCCATCGATAGTATCTCTAGTATCCGATACTGGCTTAATGAACGTTTCGAAGGAAAGTTTCGACGAAACAATATATTCGATCGAACGAATCTTGTTATGGGAATTATTGTCCCTTCCAGAAACTCGAACACGAGTTTCTATACAGGAGGATCGATAAAATTTTGCAGTAACAATGTCTTGGTTATTGTTAAATGTTATTAGCGGCTTTTCGTATTTTGAAGCAAATTTATTTATTTTCTTACAAATCTTTGAAGAGATATTGAATAAATTGGAGAATCTGCAAGTGCAAGTTTAACTTATATCCTTACAATTTTTAATATCTATCTGACAATATCTCAAAATTTTTAATACCTAACCTAATCTTTTACTAATAAAATATGAAATAAAATCAATTTAATAATCTAAGTTTAGCAATCAAATTCTATTCTTATGGAATACAGAGAATATGATTATTGTAACGCACAATTGCACAATTTTTATAATTTCCAAATATTATATAATCTATTTTAAAAATAAAAAACATCTAATAATAATAATAATAATTTTACAATCTTTTGCAATCAAAGAATTATTATTAATCGAAGTACTCGACTAGCTGTAAATCTCTGAAAAGGAATTGGATAAATTGAAAAATCTGCAAATATAAGTTTAACTTATATCCTTACAATTTCTAACATCTATCTGACAATGATATCTCAAAATTTCTAACATATATGAACATATAATATAAAAAGGCCAGTTTAAGTTCCTAACCTAATCTTTTACTAATAAAATATGAAATAAAAAATTCAATTTAATAACTTAAGTTTAGCAATCAAATTCTATTCTTATGGAACATAGAGAAATATGATCATTGTAATATATAATTGCACAATTTTTATAATTTTCAGATATTATATAATCCATATTAAAAGTAAAAAAAGGTATCTAATAATAGTAAAAGGTATCTAATAAGACTGAATCCACGATTTCAACGGGTATTACAATTACCGATATTCGATAATTTACGTTTGCAATCAATGAATTATCGTTAATCGATTGAAATTTTCGGTTTAAAATAAATTTAACGCGCGTATATATGCAATTCTACTACGTATATCTATCAACCCTTGTCCTAATTAGCAACAGGAGGGTGGCAAACAGTGCGGAATACCGAAAGGGTTTGGGGAAATCAAAGTCAGTTGATTAACTCTCTCTTTCTCCCTCTGTCTACGAGATCAGTAATTAGCCACGCAGGGATAGCTATCAACACGAACGAACTTCCGATACATTTGCAATGGCAATTAACATTTATTTCTCCGTGCTCCGACTTTGAATCGACTCGATTGCTAATCTTTTCTTTCTTCCTTTTTCCTTCTTTTTTCCTCCTTCGTCTTAAGGTCGCCTCTTTTATTTATCCCAGCGATTCGATAGTCGCAAAGAAGAAACGCAGATGCGATTATTATTCATGAGTTGTTTCTTTGTTCTTCGCGTTTCCAGTTATATCGAATCGATTAATTCCATTCGTATGTACCAACTGAAAAAAAAAAAAAATAGAGAAAGTCGAGTCAATTCGTCTCTTTCACAGGATTGTAATAATTATTTCAAAAATTTTAACTAGCACGCTATTCCTACATATCCCATTTTCCATTTATGAGAAGCGAAATAAAAATCTTGGAAGAAGATCTGGATCGAAGAATCCGCTTAAAATCTGATCGTCTCGTTTTTCTATCGTCATCAACTGGCTGACTCGCAACAATTTTCCAGCGTGTTTCCAGCGCCTCCTGTGGACAACGTAATGAAACTGAACGAGGAGCAAATAATTGGGGACACGTGATAATATAAAATAAATCCTCCTGCTATTCACAGGAGGGAGATAGGTACGGTTGCATCGAGTCCAATCACGGGGCTCTCGTTCAAATCCGATTACCATAACTACCGAGCATTACTCCGCCCTGACCACGAGGAATTTCGCGTAACAAGCTTCATATACTTTGGGACACAAAGCTGCTGCTACGAAAGCATCCTCTTTTCCCTCCTTCCCTCCCTCCTTCCTTCCTTCCTTCCTTCCTTCTTTACCGTCCGCGTCGGAATTCGATTTTAATTCTTCGATTCTTCCAACAGTTTTGGATTATTCTTTTCCTTGTTATTTTAAACTCTCCATTCTTTCTTTCCTCAGGAAAAATAATCTGAGAAAAATCTGAGAATCGTCAACGTTTTTTTTTTCTTTTTGCAACAACACGAGGGACTCGATCCGGTTTTAAACTTCTTGGCTATCGATCGGTTTGGCCCTGTATCTTCGAAAGTGAGTTGCAATTGAACATTTTATCCTCTTGCTATTCTAATCCAAGCAATTGGATCGATTCCTTGTTTCTTTTTCTTTTCACTCGAGATTGAACCTGAAATTTGATGTCTTCCTATTGGATGTTTTTTTTTTTGGATTGTAAAGTTAAAATTTTATCGTTAATAATTCGTTAATAATTATTGGGATAGAATTTTTTTAATTTTGAAGAGAAATTCGAGCGAACGAGATCTTTTTTTTTTTAGAAGTCAATCGTTGCTCGAAAATGTACTTACTTATTTCGACAAATCAGTTAAATAATTATTTTGGTTAAGAATTTCGTATAAGCGATGAAATATGAGTGATGAGAACGTAATTCTTCGTCAACAACGTCATAATCTCGTAAATTGCTGTGTAACTGTGATAAAAATTGTGATGACAATTTGTACGACGATTCATATTTATTACAGGTGAAAGAAGTGGCAGAGAGTGAAAGCTCACATTGGCCTGACCGCAACCATGCGTTATCCACTGATGCTTCAAGCGTTCATCGTCGTTGTGCATATAGTGCCAGAGGCTCGTCTCCATCGGCCAAGGGGTGAGTTTCTGAAAAATCCAAAAATTCATCAACACACGTTTGAAAAAATATTATATTTAAAAAACTTCTAATAATTATCAATATTCTTTTCATATAACCGACACCAACATGGTGCAGTTAATCATGGAATCTCTGAACGTGACAAGTGTACCTCGAACAAAAGTGACTCGAGAAATCTATCGAATCGGCTCAGAACAGTCCCTCTTTCTCGCTTTATCGCCAACCTCAACCGCTCTCGTCATTTTTCACCTGTTCACGACGCGACGCGGGGCATCGCTTTACTCGATCCTTCGAGAATAAAGATTCGTGTGACTCGAGGGAATTCGAGGGAATCTTTTAAGATTAATTTATCGACTCGAAAGAAATTATTGCAATCTATCTCTCTTTTCGTTAAAATTTATGCTAATTTACGGGACGATATTTATTTCTATAGTCAAAAATATATATTTTTTTGCAGGAGAAAACCCGCATATAGGGATTTTATTCGGGAACGAGGCTACGATAAATCGGTAACTTTATACGATTGTCAAAACACGTTCGAAAAATTCGTAAACCTCAAAACCGAGCGATAAATACGATCCATCACGCGTCGAGCAAGTCGGCTTGGCCACAGAATGATAACGTTTCATACGATTGCAATTGCAACCGCACAATTTTCACGTCACCTCGGTGCGCAATTCAAGTTCGACTTTCTTTTTTTCTTTCCCCCAAAACGAGAACAAATACTTCGCGTAAGAACGAAAGTCTTTTATTAATTCGCTCGTGTTTCAAATCGAAAATTAATAAGGAAAACTTTTCTCTGAATAAAAAGAAAAATTGAGCTTCTCCCAGAATTATTATTATCCAAGTTCGAAATCCGACGCCATCGTCAAACGAATGCTCGAGACGCGTTGAAAAAGAAAACAAAGAAGAACCTAGCTGTACCTCGAAATCCGTAACGAAATCCAATTGTACAACCGTCGCCATTTTTCCAGATGGCGCTGCTTCTTTTCAATGCAGATGAATCTCCGAATAAATATTTATTCGGTTTCGCGCAGGCGGTTTCGCCGTCCAAGACACAATGCGCCGTCCAAGGAATATGGTCTGTCATTAGGATTGGCCAATTATCGCTACGATGGGCGAAAATTACAAGCGGAGGTGGCGCCCTCGTCGTCCTCGTCGGCGGGCAGGGAAAACTCGCGTACGTCCATCCTTCATTTCGCGATCATCGACATCCCTTCTTTCTCTCTCTCTCCACGCCGCCCACCTGCTCCTGCGTAACGACGACCATTATAAGGCATTATTAAGCTGCGCAAAGAAGGGAGGAGGAGGGGGATTCGCGTCTCCTCTCGTCGCGCACACACGCGCGCTTCCCTTCTCCTCCTTCTCCTCCTCCCTTCCCCTAATTTGAAACTTAACGCCCCGGAATTCGAACTACGACCGAGAACCTGGCCAAACTTGGAATTGTTCCTCGAAGTTTCGGCGTGGGATCCGGTTGGTCGGATCCGGTTTAAAATCGTCGTGGTGGTGGAGGGGAGGGAAGAGTATAAAGTTTGCGCGTAATTACTCGCCTGCATTTTCGGAAATGCTCCCCGTGTTTGGTTTTCAAAGGGAGAGGGAGAGATTGAATTCGTATGGAAAGTATGCGCGAGAACGTGAGAATTATATCATATATTCGTCTCGAACGAGAAGTTAGTCTCGTCGAGAATTTTAACTTAGAACCCGCGTACGTACGTAATTGGAAGTATGCACAATTGGTGGTGCAGTTTTGAAGTTAGGTTCGGTTAATCGAAAGGGAAAAAATGGAGGAAAATCTGTTTGGATGAGGTCAATTTCGACCCGATATTTATATTTTGAGAATATATTACGAGTTGACTTGCCGTTTTAGTAAAAAGAATTTGAAAAATAAAATATATAAATGTATATAAATAAATTTTATCTCAATCCTCTTAATCGGTGAAAATCTATATAATATTGTAACAAGAGTCTAATTTTCGTTCTAAAAAAATGAGACGAATCCCGCGCAATAAACTCGATTCTTTCGCCACTTGTCGGCGATTCTACAAGCTTGCTACAAGCTTGCTACAAGGAAGCAGTTTCGCGAATATTTTTAGCCTCGAAGCGATAGTTATAAATAGAATCGGTGCCGAGCAAATCGAATCTACACGTCACTTTCGCATTATCGTCTCGTTAACCGATGACATATGTGGTTCTCTCCGTCCTTGCCACTCGTTTTTGCCAATCCGTTCGCATTCGAACACGAGTCACGTCACGAGACTCGTCACACGGTCTCGAAGGATTTAAAGAAACGATTGGAAAAGAAAAGGAAAGGAAAAAAAAATCGAGAAACACATCGCCCTCTATAATATTTTCGCCTCGAGTGCGAAATTCTTTTTCTTTTTCTTTTCATCCGAGACCGGTTTCTCTAAAACTTTATCTTTCCCTCCTTTCCATCTCTTTCTCTCTTTTCCCCGACCGAGAGAAGAAAATGGACGGCGCCGCGACGTTGGCGCCAAACGTCTACAAAAGCGACGAACGAACGAACTAAAAAAGAAGAAAAAAGGACGGCCCGTTCGAGCGGAGCAATAAAACCGAGCCGTCCATTCATGGTTGGAAACCTGTTGAAAAATCGTCCCCCTCCTCCCCCCTCCTCCCTCGAACAAGCGCTCGCCGTTGTGGGTGCGTGTTATATGCGACGGGGAACGAGCAACGAACGAACGAACGCCTCGAAGCGTGGCCAAGCGTTCGAAACGTCGCTCGCTCGATAACCGATAATCGAATAAAATAAAAGGATGAAATGAAACGAGGGGGATGGATCTTGAATAAGTTACAAGATTCAGGGATAAATCAGTTTTTTTTTTAATCTCAAATATTATCGAGAGATAATATAACGTTTCCAGGATTGAAACACGTACAATTGGAATTGGAAAGTTGATGGAAACTTGGAGCGATTGCCGCGCCGCCACTTTGATCTCTGATCGCTCGGAAGTTTATCGTGGCTGTCATCGCCTATTTCCTCGCGGGAATCGATCGTTCCAAGTTCGAAACGTGTCTCCCATGGAAGGAAAGAGCGAAGGAAGACAGGAAGGGGCGAGCCCTCAATTTTCGAACTCTTTCCGTGTGCGAAGGGAGAGAAAAGTTGGAAGATCTCGTGGAAAATCTTGTGGAACTTTTTAAGCCGATATAAAATCTTAAGTCCATGAATTACGCAAGCTCCTCGTCGGTTCACCGACCGAAGATTTTCTTTCTCTTTCTTCGAAACTTGCGAGAATCGATTTTGTCGAATCGGGCGATTAAACTACGCCAAGCTTATTGAAACGATAAGCAGGGAGAGCCTTTTCGCTTTTCAAATGTTCTTTTTTTTTTCTTTTTAAATAAAGCGAGACACAAAGGAAACAATTAGCGCTCACGCGATGGCTCGAGCTCCTGTCCATCAACGTCCAATGCATCAACTGATAACCGAGTGATTAATGCGAGCGCCGCCCTAATGGATGACGCATTTGGAAGAGTGAGAAAAAAAAAGGAACGCGGATAAAATCTTTCTCATTACACGCGGGAACGCAATTTCCGAAATACAAAAGCAATTTGCGTAATTGAAAAATACATGCTTTACTTTCGAATTATCGAAACGAACGTATTAAAAATTCTATATTCGTTGGGCGAAAATGACGTGTTCGGTGATATTAAAATTATCGTATTTCTTTCGAATCAGTAAATCGAATCTTCGATATCTTCGAAACAGGCTTGTCTTCCAATTTAATTATCTCCAACTTCAAAAGAGCTTGCATAGTTTCAAATTCGGACCGATCTGTGAAAATAAAAGTAAAAAAAAAAAAATGGAATCGCGGAAGGAAGAAGGAGAGTGAAACGAACGGGAGTTTGGAGGCGAAAATATAGGGATCGGTGGTAGCCGCGATTGGCGCACCTGTGCTGTTGCCGATGTTCGATGAATGCTGGAGCGGGGGCGGTTGGACGTGGGCCGATATACTACACGCTCGCTTTTTCTCCTCTCTCTCTTTCTCTCCCCCTCTCCCTCCTTGTCTTCGCGAAGGATCAGGAGGAGGAGGAAGGAATAAAAGGCGAGAGGAGCGTGGGCCGCGATTCCGTGGTGCAATTCCGAAAACGCTGAAAACGTGACTCGACGTGGCCGGCTGCTGCTGCTCCTCCAGCGTCCACGCGTAGGCACGCTCGATGACGAAGCGTTATCTTTATTTTCATTCAGAAACCACCGGGCTTCTCCCCTCTTCTCTTCCCTCTCCGCTCGGCCCCGTTATGTAAACCCCGCGCCTGCGCTTACCGTCCGAAAAAAACTTTTATTTTCGGACGTTTGCGATAACATTTGCGGTGTTGTCGATGTTTTCGGTCGATGTTGCGGGATCGTTTTTCCCTGGCGGTTGGCGAGGAATAGTTGCGCGCGGTAGCATAGGGGAAAATTTAATTAGGTTGAAGTTACGAAGTTATAATTCTAATTGTTCAAAACGAATAATTATTGCAATGTAATTGTAACGAGGTTATATGAAAAATGGATCGATTATAATAAATATTAACAAGTAATCGAAGTAACGAGTACTCGAGATTTTCAATTTGGTTACTTTTTCAATTGGGTTAATGCCCAAGTCTTGAGCAAGAAAATAATTCGAAGATACGTAATTGCATTCTAATATTTCTATAAATTTTCTAATCTCTTTTTTCTCGAAAATTTTTTGAGAAAATAGGAAACTATCTTGAAGAAGATGATATATATATATATATGAATTTGTCTTGTTATTTTTATAATGTTTGTAATTTAAGACGATTAAAGGGTCTCGGCTAGGGACTTTAATCCGTTTAAATAATAACTATTCAAATCAGGGGAGCGTATCGTCGCCAAAATTCCAATTTCGTATGCAGGATAAACGTTATCCGGGGATTGTCAGAGTATTAAGAGCAAATAGTAGCAATCTGTGTTTGCTCATAATACGTGGAAATACTTGGCAATATAACGGATAATGCGATAACCATTGTGCGACCACCATCTTATTAGATGCGC